ATACAGTATCTTTGTCTTCTAAGTATCTTAATAAACTTTCAGCATAGCTTTCTCCCCGTTTAGACTTATTTTTCTTGGGATTTTGGGATCAAACGTGGAAGGATTAGATTGTAATCGTTTTTATTTTTCAAATACGTTTTAGAAAAGTTTAACCTATACCTGCCCAGACTGTACGCCCGCTTCACTGTGGGACAGCCGCACTGGTCGGCGTCCTTCCTAAACCCGCCCTGACCACTTTCACTCCTGTCCTGCTCTTCCCCGTGCACCCCAGCCTGGCGCTCTTCGGCCTCTGCCCGGGACGAATGTATATTTAGATATTTACACCCGGCGCGGCACCGAGGGAGCGTCTGCATTTATAACTTAGTTTTTAAAATTAGTCAAGCAATATGAAGCATCTCCTTTTACTTTTAAGTCCCTTAAATACATTGAGCACAGCTTTCTCGCCACTTAGATTACTTTTTGATACCATCCATACACAAAGCAGAAACGTGTATTTTCCGATGACACACAGTACAAGTGGAAAGATTACAGATTTTAATCGTCTTTAATTTTGTTACGTTATACGTTTTAGGAACATTTCATCTATACAAACACCACAAAACTATTCTCGATTGTATTTCTGAATGTTATATTACACTTACAGTAGTTCACTGGTTTAAATACATCGAATTAAGAAAGTTAGGTGTAGCACTTTAGATCTTTTTTTCTGAACCAGGGAAAATCTGATCATGTTTCTCTATAACAATAATAAAACACTTTATTTTACATATCATCTTTAAAAGTGGTATATCAAAGCCATACAGTAGATGTAAACCACAGATTACAAAGTAAATACCCAGAAAAACACAAACGCATTTTTAATAAAATGCTTTTATTCATTCAGCAGAGAGAGAGACATCCAGCAGAGAGAGACACACACACAGGTTTTCATTGACAAAAAGTAATTGTTTTTTTTTAACATTCCTCTTGTCTAACAGGAATGTTTTGTTTGTGGACAGACTCACATTCCCGAATGGCCCCCGCCCCGGTCAACAATCCTAGGAAAAACACGAAACAGCCTGTTAATAAAGCTGTTACAATTTTGTTTGGACAGTTCTTCCTCCCAGAATTTATAGATCGCATCGATCAGTTCCTGCTTTGTGACGGGCTTTACAGTTTTCCAAACGTAGTCTTTCAACGAATGTCAAACCATCTCTAACGGATTTAGATCTGGGGATTCGGCTGGAGTTTTCACCCAGTTCACTTCTTCTGCTACAAGCCTCGCCCTTGCTGCTGTGTGTTTCGGATCGTTGTCTTGAAAGAGACGGTGCCTTGATCCAAACTGTTCCCTGATATATGGGGAGGCATGCTGTGTGACCACGACTTCCTCGAAGAATACACGCTCCATAATTCCTTCGAAAATAAGAAGTGGTCCTGGGCCTCTTCTAGATATACCCCCCCAGACGTGAACCTTCAGTGGATGTTTGGGCTTTGGCTTGTCCACATGTCTCCCCTTTTTGCAAAATGCCATTCTTGAAAACTGTTCCAGAGCCACTGTTGTTTTGTCGGTGAAAAGTACATCCTGAAATGCCTCCACCTGTTCAATCCATTGGAGCGCTTGCTTGAGTCTTTCCTCTTTGTTTTTTAGCCGTATCATGGGGCATGTGTTGGTTTTTCTGTATCTCCATCCAAGCCTCCTGCACACATCTTATCGATGTCGGGCTAACAGTCGCACCAAGGTCAGCCCATAGCCGTCTTTGGACTTGCATCGCCGGT